ATCCTTCTGGGCTCTCCTCTTGTGGAAGGTCTTTAATGGTTGTTCAGTTTCATTGCTTAATATTTTTTTTTTTACATTTGTAGATTCTTGTGCTACAATTTGTCTAGATGACCTGCATTTAGAATTTTGTCAATCTCTTTACTTTTTTTCTAGGTTACTGAAGGATATTTGTAAAAATAGTTTATAATTCTGAATTTCAGCAGCAATATCTTCTGTTTTCTCTCTAATTTTGTTGATTGAGTCTTCTGATATTTGATTTCTGGAGACATGACAACATGTAACCTCAAATTACTTGACGGAGCTGTAGTAACTGAACCAGCATGGCACTGTCACCAAAGCAGACATGGACACCAAGGGGACAGAGTAGGAGGTACAGAGACAGACCAACCTAAGTGCACTTATCTGGCACTTGTCAGAGTTTCCAAAATCATGTTGCAGAAATTATAGCCTTTTCAAGAGAGAGTGCTGGGAAAACTGAATATCAATATGTAAAAGAATATACTAGGTCACTATCCCTCACCCTGTAAAATATCAACTCTGCAAGGGCTATAATCAAATATTGCAACAACCCTCCTCTGTACCTACACAGACACAGATTTCCTCAAAAAGGTCACTAAAGTGTAAGAGTCAAAACCAGGAATCAGTAAGCAGGACAGTATCAAATTAAAACCTTCAGCACAGCAATGGAATCCAGCCATAGTGTGAGGAGAGAGCCTTGGGAATAGGACATCATTGTCACCTGCTCCTCAGATAGGGCACTAATACACAGAATATATAGACAACACAAAACACTTAATGCCAAGACCAAATAGCCCAATAAATAAATGAGAAAGAGCTAAGGGGACATTTCTCATGAGAGAAAATCTATGTGGCCAACAAATATAGGAAAAGATACCCAATAATTCTACCAATCAATTAAATGAAAATTGAAATTATGTTTAGAATTCATCTCAGTCCAATCAGAAGGCGACCATCAAGAACACAGATAATAAAAAGTATCAGCAAAGATGTGGGAAAGAGTTGTACGTATGTGTTATTGCTGGGACTTCAAATTAGTGCTGCCATTCTAGAAAGCAGAATGGACATTTCATGAAGACCAGGAATGGAGCCACGGTGTGACCCAGCTACCCTCCTCGGTGTTTATCCAAAAGACCCCAGATCAGCACAGCACAGCTATCTAGCCACATCAGTGTTTACACCAGTGGGTCTGAAAACAGCCATATTATATAACTTTCCCAGATGTCCATCAACAAATGAGTGGATAAAGGGAAGGTGGCATATGCACAGAACAGTGTTTCACTCAGCCACAGGGAAGAGGGAAAATGTGGCATTTCCTGGTCAATGGATGGAACTGGAGAATATCAAGTTTATTAAGCCAGAATCAGAGGGAGAAATGTCAAGTGTTAAATCTCAAATGCGAATTGCAGATCACAAAAGGGGAAAGTTCTGGGAGGAGTCCCCTAGAAACAGAAGAGGGAGCAGGAGGAGAGGAAGGGGATCAAGGGTGAGGTAGGGGAACAGAAATGGGACGAGCAGTGGAATGACACTGAGGAAGCATTCCTGTGTCCTGTGTGAGGATGGCACAGTGGATGTCCCCTTTATGTGTTCTAAGAGGCACTAATGAACCAAATTATAGAAAAGATCTGTCAAGAAAAGAAAGGGAAAAAGGGTCAGGAGGGAGGGGTAGAGAGGAGGGAGGGAAAGGGAGATGGTAGGGGACAGAAGTGAAGAAATTATGTCCCATGATTGTGTAGTTGTGTCCAATTGAAATGCAGTATTATTTATAATTATGGTGCAACAATGAAAAAAGAAAGTATAAATTTAAAACCCAAATTGTTCTCTTCAGAGACATAAGAGATTAGTAGAAAAAAATATGTCCAGAGAGTTCTCTTAGAAAGCTGGATCATGGAGAAGAGAGGCCCCCAGAGAGAGGAAATCTCCCCCCACCCCCTCTGCACCTGCTCCTGGGTGACCCTGAGCTGCTGTGTGCTGAGCGCCCCCTGCTGGCCCTAGGCGCCCTGCAGGGAGGTTTGTGTCAGGCATCACACTGAGGTCCCCTCACTGTGTCTCTGGCACAGTAATAGGTGGCTGTGTCCTCAGTTCTCAGACTGCTCATTTGCAGGTACAGCGTGTTCTTGGAGTTCTCTCTGGAGATGGTGAATCGGCCCTTCACAGAGTCTGGGTAGTAGGTGCTACCACCATTTTTATTAATTTCTCCAACCCACTCCAGCCCCTTCCCTGGAGCCTGGCGGAACCAGTACATCCAGTAATCACTGAAGGTGAATCCAGAGGCTGCACAGGAGAGTCGCAGGGAACCCCCAGGCTGCACCAGGCCTCCCCCAGACTCCACCAGCTGCACCTCACACTGGACACCTGCAAACACAGAGGCAGCCTGGTCAGGACACTGGCACTCATCCACTCTTCCTCTCACTCCTGTCCACTCACACACTCAGGATCTCTGGTTCTCCATTCATTACCTTTGAAAACAGCCACCAGGAAAACCCAGCTGAGCACACTCTCCATGGTGAGCAGCTGTGTTCAGTCCTGGTCACTGAGTGGGCTGAGCTGGGAGTCCAGGGCTGGGCTCCTGTGCAGAGCTGCAGGGTCAGGTGGGCTGGTTTTCATGAGCAGAGGGAGGCCCTATTTGCATGTCCTCCTGCTATATAGCAGCTCTGGGTGGAGGGCCATGTAGAAGAGCTCTGAGAGCAGATGGGCATGTCATGGGCAGCATGGTGGACTGAGGAGCATTCGGGAGGGGAGAATTTCTTCTATTTGCTCTTGTTTTCCATTATCTTAATTTATTTACTATATACCAAAAAATTATGATAGAAAGGTCAGTGTGAATTCAATGGTCCAAATGTAAAATGACACACAGAAGCAAATGTGGAGGTTCAGTGTGTCCAGCAGATCATATCTGCGAAGAGGACGTTGAGTATTTGGCGTGTTTGGGCTTTGCTCTCACCATGGACATGACTACTCATCAGACCCTCTACCAGCCCCCTGGTGGTTACACCTGTTGAGATCCTCAGAGTCTTATTTTGTGGATGACCTCACATTTGGTGGGAGCTGGGCTCACTCAGGCTGGCGCAGACTTTGGGTTGGACAATCTGTAGGGCACAGGGGAGGCCCTGGAGTGTGACCTTTGAGAATGTACCACTGTGAGTTTCTCATATATATATCCATAAATACAGATACATTTGTATATATATGCACATACATAGTGTTAATTTAATTATAAATATAAAAATATAGAAGACAGATCAGTAGGTAAAGTAATTGGGGAATAGGAGGGAAAGACATAGAGGAAGTACATGACAGTGGACACCTCATGTCAGGCCATGTGCAGGACAGGGAGGGGCAGAGAGGGGCAGTGCAGGCAGAGCTGGTGCTTTGCACTTTGGCCAGGAGAGCAGCACACTTGTGGTGCTGCCCAGGAGCTGTGGCCAGGAGGGGGAGGCCAGCAGCTCACTGGGAGCAGCCCAGGGCTTTGCACCCAGAGGATGGAGGGTGGTTTCAGGATCTCAGGGATCAACAAGGCCCAGCTTCCCCAGCTCAGAGGCAGAGATGAAGATCTGAAAGACCCTCCAGGGCAGGGCCTGTGGGACAGAGCTCTGGGAGTGTGACCCAGGACTGCCCAGGGCATGTTTTCCCCTGTTCAGCCAGCAAAGGAGCTCATGGGTTCCCAGCCCTGGTTAAAGGGCAGCCAGGACCTGCTCCCTGCTTAGGGTGACCTTGTCCTCAGACACACCATGCTGGCTTTGCAGGTGGCTGACTGTGAGAGCTACAGGAGCTGTGGTGTCCTCTTGGGCACACTCCCCAGCATGTGCAGGTGTGAACCTCTTCTGCTGCTCAGTGGTGAGGCCCTACCCCTGCCCTGCACAGGCTGTTGGTGTGTGATGCAGATGTTTCCAGAGTCTGATTTCTTCACAGCCACATGGATGGAAGGTGGTTTTCAACTTGGTGGACTACATGGATCCTCTCTTCTCCTGACCAGAAGTTCCCTTTTGATGACCTCTGCCTCCTGGTAATAATTTCCTGGTGCTGCAATCCACATACACACCTTGATTTACATGGTCCCTCCTCATTCTGACCTGGTCACTCTCTGAACCCAGCCCACTGTGGAATGGCAGGAAGGTTCTTCTAAAATTGTGTTTTCATGATTAAAATTGAACCTAGAGATTCTCGTAAATGTGTTTCCACATTCCTGCTTCATTAACTTTTAATTTAAATATTAATATTTTAGTTGTAGTTGGACAAAACACCTTTATTTTATTCATTTATTTTCAAACCCAGGGCCTCGAACATGCTACGAAAGCACTCTACCACTGAGCCACAACTGGAGGACTTTGTTAACTTTTTGACAATTAGCTAGTGTTTCAGTTTCTGTTTTATTAAGTTGTTTATAACTTGCCAATGTGGCTGGTTAAATGTGAGTCTGACATGGAGCACACACATTCTGCTTTAGCTCTCAGTCTGTCCCAGTCTCTGAGCACCCACTTCTCTCCAGGCCATGAGCCCCATCAGGAGCTGATCCCAGGGATCCCTGGGGTCAGGTTTGCACAGTGCCTGCACCAGGCCTGCACAGTGGGGAGACCTTGGATCTGCCACCACCTCATGGGTTATGTTCTCAGTGCCCCTAGGGACACATGTGTCTCTTCTTCACTGCAGGAAGTGGTGTCTGTCCTGCCTTCTTGCATGGGCTCTGACCCCCAATGCCAGTGCAGCTCCTACACAGCAGTTAATGAAGGCACAGCTGGTGCTCAGTGGTGTTCTGCCACTGGGTGGGATTGGAGCCCGTGTAGCAGGTGGCCTGTGCATCTGTGTAGCCAGGGGCCAGGCACCCTGCATGCTGCCATCATGAAGTACAGCACATCACAGCACCTGCTTGTGCAGTCCAAGGGATGTGGCCAGAGAATTAGAGGGGGAACAGGATTCCAGGGCTGTGAGGCTCTGGGTGGAGAGGGAGCCACAGAGGCTGGCAGGAAGACCCTTTCTCCACACTATCCCCATAGGCAGAGGGGCAGGTCAGAGCTGAGGCCAGCCTGAGCCCTTGTGCAGGAAGCCCCAGGCTGTGCCTTTTCCACCCAGAGCACAGTCATGGGGGCTGCATCCGCAGGGTCCAGGCTGGTCACAGTCATGGGTACTGGGTCTGCAGGGTCCAGGCTGGTCACAATCAGGGGGGCTGGGTCTGCAGGGTCCAGGCTGGTCATGGTGAAGACCTCCTGTTTGTTGCAGGATTCCTAGGAGTTTGTGATACAGCTCCTCAGGGCTGGGTGGGCCAAACACTGGCCAGCCCCTACAGGGCCTTCCCTGGGTGAACACCCAGCCCAGTCCCCTGTTAGTAGAGCCCAGTGAGGACCCAGAGAAGGAGCAGGTCAGCCTGTGGTCATGGTGGGTCCTCCAGCCCAGGGCCAGATCCCTGCAGGGAGACTGGGGGCAGGTGCTCCATCACCCAGGCCCTGACTCTTTCACCTGCACCTGGGAGAGGACCCTGCGGACAGAGAAGCAGAGTGAGTCTTGAACTCAGATGCAGCTGCCCCAGGTCTTCCTCCCTGAGTCCCTGAGACCTCACATCTGGGAGCCTCCAGCAAAAGGAAGGAGAAGCATGGAAGGTTTTGTGCTCAAGTTTTTCTGTCAGGTCTTTCCATGACAGTGACCTAAAGCTGACTCAGGGTATGAGCAGACACCCAGAGTCCTGAAGTACCAGGATCTGGATGTGAGGTCACAGGTCAGAGTCTCAGTCCTCTCTTGAATGTAGCACAAACCCCCAGAGTGGGCAGATGCTCATGTCCCCTGTTGTTCTCAGTCTCTTAGGTGAGCAGGCTGAGCCCCTGGGGAGGTGAGCTGTGTGCTAAGGGCCAGCTCCCACTGCCCACAGTGCTTGGTGGCTACAAGATCCCAGGACAGAAGATGGCCATGGATTCTTGAGATGACAAAGGCAATGTCAATGTCCTTCCCTCAAGGCTCTCGTTGTGGCCCTCATCCTATACAGGAGGTGACAGCCATCCTGAGTACAGTCCGACCCAGGTGAGCACCTCTTAGTGGTACCAGCTGGAGTTCAAGTGCCAGCACATTAAAGAGAAGAGGTCCCTTCCATCAAGCCCCTGTGGATTCCAGGAACACCCATCCCAATGTCTAAATGCTCCAATTCCTCCCCAGGGCCACACGGTTTCACTCACTCCAGCACCAATTTTGGAGTCTTGGTCAACAGTGTCACCTATCCCCCATGTTGGTCAGGTGTGGGTGTCCCTGGGGTCATGCTCCTCAGGTTTGAGCTGGGAATCACACACATCATGTGCTGCAGACACCGTGCAGGACCTGGCACAGGTCACACTCCATTACCACCATGGAGATTAGACCAGGCCGTCCAATGGCAGCTGGACCTGCATCAACCTCAGGGCCCCAGAAGGCCCTGCTGATGTGACTCTGGCCATCCTTTCTCACTGGGCAGGTGCAGGTTGCAGACTCCAGCAGCCCCACCCTGTGCCTTTCTGGGGCAGCCAAGGGGAGTCCCTCCTGCCAGTGATGTCCTCCCTTCATCTCCCGCAGCCTGGCTCTGTGTGCTGGTGACTCTGCAGGCTGGAGTGTGGAGAAGGGCCTCCTCACAGCTCCCCTCTGCACTCCTCCTGGGGACACTTCACTGTCCCTAGGGCCTCAGTCCTGTAGAGCACGACCTCATGCAGGCCTCCTGCAGGGACTCCCCTCTGCAGGACTGCTTGAACTGTGCTTGGAGATTTCTGGGTTTCCTTTGAGGACTCTGTCATGATGCCATGCCCCAAGGGTCTTGGACTCTGTGCCTGTCACTGTGAGCAGCACAGGGACACTATCATTATGCATGCACTGGCCCTCTGGAGGGACAGCCACTGAGGACCACACTGCCCCTGGACACATTGAGCCACACCTGCTGTGACTACATAATAAAGCATCTCATCTCTGGCAAGAAAAAGGCACTGACAATGTCCTGTGGTAGGGATGGTCTCCCATGAAAAATGGTCAGTGCCTTGCACACTGTGACCAGCCATACTGCCCTGTGAGGTGAACATCCAAGTTTGCATGAGAATATTTCCAAGTCCTGAATTTTCGTGCTGGAGGAAAAGCATTGCCTGTGACCAGGACCAAGGGGAAAAGCCCTAGGTCAGGTAGTAAGAGTGGGAAAGGAGTAATATTCCTGACAATATCCAATGGGCAGAGGTCAGATATTATGTACTGTGGACTGACCATCATGGGGATGGAGTAACTGTTCTGATATTATACACTGGGGACAGTCAGCCATCAGAATGGAGTAACAGGTCAGATATTATCCACAGAGACAGGGAATGTATTAGGATGGAATAACAGGTCACATGTTGTCCACTGGGGACCGTGAGCATGGGGATGTGGTGACATGTCTGATATTATCCCCTGTGGACAGGCCAGTGTTGGGATGGGGTAAAAGATCAGATATCATCCCCTGTGGGCAGGATTAGCATGTGGATGTAACAACATGTAAGATATTATCCACTGGGGATGGAGTAAGTATGGGGGTGGGGTAACAGGTGAAATGTTGTCCCCTGGAGACCTGGCCAACAGGGGGATATAGTATTATGTCAGATATTGTCCACTGGGGACAGAGCATGGATTAAAGTAACTGCTCACATGTTATTCCCTGGGTCTTGGCAACCATGGGGATGGAGGAACAGGTCAGATATTATCCACTGGGTACAGGTTCAACATGGGGATGGAGAAACTTTCCATACCTGGATTGGGCAGTTTTCTAGGAATCCCCTGAACCATCCTAGCAGTGCCCAGGTGGTTATGCCCTTGTCCAGGGAAGGTCTGTGGACAACTGCCAGGGCTGGCATCTCCTGGGAACAAGATCTCATGGGAAAACAAGGTCTTGAAGGAATTTACAGGAGAGAAGCAACACTGGCTCTTCATGAAGAAGATGAAATGGTCAACTTTCCAGCAGAAGCTCTGACGGGCTGCACCCTACAGGGGCTGGTGTAGATGAAGAAAGCTTGGAGTCTGTGCACAGTGGGTCTTCAGCCAGGAATACAATGGAGTGACAGCATTTGCTGGGAAACAGGTGGAACTGGGACCATCAAGCTGATGAAGGAGGCCAGACGGAGAAGCCAAGGGCCCATCTTCTCTCCCAATTGAGGAAGCTGGAGAAGAGGGAGAGGAGAGGAGGGTGATGTGGACAGAGAAGGAGATCAGTGGATCCAGGAAGGGCCTGTGGGTGGGCAGAGGGGGGGGTGAAGGGAGGAGAGCAGAAGGGAACTCACCATCTGTGCTGTGAGCTGATGTGAAGGAGCACAGTGAACTCCACCTTCATGAACATCCATGAACCTCCAACTCAGACATGTGTAACACATAGAAGAAAGACCACAGAGCCCAGGAGGGGAGCAGGGAGGGAGAAGGGCAGGAAGGGGAAGGGCTGCCCACAGAAATGGGGGTCCTGATCCAGGTCTGAATTACTCCAGTACTCTGTTTCCCTACAATGCACCAACAGTTGTAAATATCACAGGAGAGAGCCAGAGGACACAGCCACAGCTGTGGGGCCAGCAGCCCTGCTCCTGCTTCATGGGCCAGAGGTCATGGTGAGGGCCTGGGCCTCTTCCAAGTGCTGAGTGTGACCAGGAAGAAGGATGACCAGGAAGGAGGCAGAACCTTGTCAACATGGACAAGTGATGGGGTCCCTGCTGGCTCAGCTTGGCGGACCTGTTACCCTCTGTCCTTCTGATGTATTGACATGGATGGGGCCATGTGTGCCCTACGTCTGGCCCTCCACTTGAGTGTGGAACAGGTATGTCCTGTTCTCTTCCCTGGCAATTGTACAATAGCAACAGCAAATTGGTTCCAGAAGATTGATTAGGAGGGAGAGTATGGCCACAGGACCAAGGAGAGGACTTGACTGACTAATGGCCCCTGGGGTCTGGAGTCCCCTAGACTGTGTCCTGATTGCCCTGGTGAGGGCTTCCACAGCAGAGAGCTCTTGGCTGTGCTGGTCATGGTGCTGACTGTTTTCTGGGCCAGAGTTCAGTAGGGCAGCAATGGAGGACATCTGAGTCACTCTCTCAGCATCTCTTGGCACAAGGGTCATCAGAGTCCCTCCATGGATATCCATCAAGTCACACTTCTGTCCCTCTCAGGACTGCTATGGAAAACTCAGGTTCAGGCCACCTGTAGTGTCAGGCAGGACCTGGGCAGTCAGGCTCCTGTACTCAGGTGCCAGGTCTGGGGTGGGCAGAGCGTGCTTAGGACAGGGCTTACTGAGTGGTCTGGTCAGATGTCCCCCTGCCACTCACTAGTGCTCAGCAGCTGTGGTGACCCAGCCTGGCTGCCTGTCCCCCTTAAGGAAACTCACCTGATCCTCAGCCCTACACCTTCCATTTACAAGCAGCAAAAGTGCCAGAGGACCAGTGCTGAGTCTCAGGGACTCCTTGGAAGCCAGGAGGACCATGAGCCTGGGGTTCATCAGGTGTCCAGGTCACCCACCCTGGACTGGCTTCCTGTTTGCTGTACTAAGAATCCCAAGGACAGCCCTAATGAGGAAAGCCCAGTGATGTCCCTTCTCTGAGTTGATGGGAAAAGACTCACCTGTGTCCTCTGAGCTTCCTCAACCTCTGGTCCTGGTAACCACACAGCAGTCACTTCAGCCTCAATAATGCTTCTCTGCATTTGGTTCATGTGAAAATGCTCCTGCATCCAAGTGTGCAGTGTAGGGACCCTGGGGAATCAGAGTGGGAGAGAGGACACCCTTGTCCTGTCCTGAGCTGAGAGGAACTGTTTCCAGGATGTCTCACTTCAGTATGGTGGTGGCCTTGGTTTTGTCACATGCAGCCTTTATAAGGTTGAGGTCAGGCCCTTGGATGTCTAGCTTCTCCAGTCCTTTAAACATGAGGGGTGCTGGCCTCCTCAAATGCTTTCCCTGTACCTGTTGATGTGATGGTGTGACCCTTGTCCTCACCTCTGTTTATGTGGTGAATCCCATATTGATATAATTAATCTGTATATGTTGAGCCAACCTCCCACCCTGTGGAGAAAACCACCTGATCACGGTACCACCTTCTCATGTGTCCTTCAATGCTCTGTGTCAATATTCCTGTGTCCAGGAACCTCACATCTGTGTTCATCAATGTTATTGATCTTAAATCTTCTTTCCTGAATGTGTTTTATTTGGCTTTGGGTCAGGGAGTAACTGACTTCACAGAATGATTGATCAGTGTTTTCTCTTTTTACATTTCAAGAAATAATATAA